AGAGACTTCGGCTGAACATTTGGATCTTTGTGGCAGGAACAAGAATAGACTTTCTCACTTTCACTGGCTCCAAGAACTACTTGCCATGGTTGTGGACGGCAAGAACAAGGTGGGCGCTTGTATGCTTTGTGCGTACGCAACTGCTAGGGACTGCAACACAGCTTTAGGTCCAGTCAAATGATCACTTCACAGCCATGATGTCCAGGGCATGGCCACCTGCGTCGAGAGTCGCCGCCGTGGCACCCCGCTCTTTGCAGTGGCCGGTGCGCCGCCTCAAAATTGCTTTCGTTTGATCGAAAAGAAGTCACACTTGTAGCTTCTTCCCAGCATTTCAGAAGGAAAAGATGGGCTTGAACTAACGAAGACATCTTCGACTGACGTTTTTGTGTCCAGGTGTTTGCCCCAACAGCCTTTGTGGCATGCAGGCGGTGATGTACTGCAAGGCCAGTGCGGAGACCTTTTCGCTGGAACTGTAAATCAACTGAGAGCTCTCCATGCGTTGCAGTTTGACAAAGACGTGGATTTCTGGTGGATAAAGCCGAAGGCCCGACCGGCACGTTGTGGTCGCTTGCCATACCTTGCATGCTTGCAAAGAGGGCCTGAGATGTCCATCTGAGCAGGGCCTCGCTGGTGTTCACCCAAAATCAATGGCCAACTAAGATTTGGCGATGTGTGCATTATTCCGAGTCTGTACGCTACCCATGAACTGCAGTAACTGCAGAGGGACGTATCCTCTGTCAGAGGTCGACAAGCCGGACCAACTGGAGCGGAATACGCTGGATCTCCACAAGGAGGCACGGCCACGCCACGAAATCTCTGCATAGAATACGTTAAACTCAGGAAATTACCGCCCAACTTTTTGGTGGGCCCTGTTTTTCTGGGCTTGCTTCAAGAGTGTTCTGGGAGATCCCCTTTCAGGTTCTCGTTTACGTGCCCTTGGGCGATACTTGTAGGGCTAGCCATGATGTTAATATTCAAAAGTTGGTTTGAAGATGTCAAGCAGAGCAAAGACTAGCTCCGGTATAAAAGTAACTTGATTACAGTTGAATGTTTCTCGCCACCACGCATCAGTACGCACGGTATCCAGAACTGGCTCTGTAGAATGCTGCGATTGCAAATGCGTCAGGGCAAATATCGAAATGCGACGGGAAAGTCGAGAGCCTTGTACCTGCCGTTAGCCGAGAAGTTTGCTGGAAGCAAAGAAGCTTGGCCGCACGGTTTTGCGCCCCTTCGCCCTCCACAGTAAAGGAACTGGGTTGCCCTACTACTCCTGTCACATGGGTGTAGTAGGTAGTTGTAGTTCGTTATCGTGAACAATTTGCACGAGTGCTTCTAGTAGTACTGTGGTACTAGTTATGGTCCAAGGCGACTGCGGCTGCGATGCTGAAGTGAACAAGCTACAAACGCCATAGGAACAGCACAAGTAAAGAGATAGTCCTGCTCGACATGTGAGGTGGTCATGCAAGAAGAAGCCACATGAGCCAAGATCCATGGTGCAAAATACCCAAAATGCTGCATTGATGGCGATGTGGCAACCCACATGACTGGTGTTTCCAGACTCAGATCTGCGGACACCACCAGCACCGAGTTCTTGCAGCGGCAAAGTCATGTCAACAGCAGCCAAGGCCCCCGGCCCCCCCAACAAATCGTCCAGCTCTGCAAGGAAGGCTCTTTCGAATTCGGCATGGACGACAATGGCCGAGCTTTCATCGATGAGACAACCGCCACTGGCCGCTGCCGGATGCTTCTCTACCTCGTCTGGCAGGACCCGAAGATATGTGATGCTTTGAGTGAGTCTGACTTCGCTTCGTTCGTTCGGCTGGTGAGGAGAACTGGAGCAGCTTCTTCGCCTACAACAAGTTCATCGAGGCCCGGCGGTGGGTCTTCTTCCGCCGCTCTGCATTCTTGAAACCCTGAAGGGCAAGCTCTTCTACCAGCGCGGACAGCCCTGGGAGTGCGCCGAGAGCCAGGCCCGGTTCTTTAGCAGTCCCGGCTAAAGTAGCTGCCCGGATCCCCTCCGGCCACCGGCCAGGCCAAGACGGCAGCGCCCTTCTTTGCTCGCCAGTACAGCCTCGAAGGCCGGAAAGACAGGGGCCGGGGTGCACCAGTGCATGATCAGTGCATGTTGCATCATGTTGCCCTTCGGCCTCTGCACAGTGCTGTCAGTCCAGGTGGCAGTCTTTCCATCGCAGGGGTTGAGACCGAAGAGACCGTGCTCTCGCTGCTGCCGCCGGACGTCTGCCAGGCGACACCGAGGGCTCAATCTTCAGCGAGTGTACGGTGATGTGTCGATTCGGCAGTCTGCGGCCTCTTTCCTGCAAGAATTAGAGGCTGTCGCGTCTGTGCCAGGAAATGTTTTCCATGTGACCTCTTCCACCAGGCCTCCAAGCTTGCGTATGAAGATGTACAAACTTTGTAAAGGCCTGCGTCTCCCGGAAAACTCACACCCTTTTGATTTCCGGCAGAGATCAGATGTCTGGGATCTGTAGCATGATCGTCAAAGACATCAGCCCTGTCTCTCGTGAAGGGTGCAAGCCCTCACACAGTCCACAGTCGGGGGAGATGCCATAGAGCTCGGACATTAATGCCGCTGCCAAGCAGCAGCAAGCTCGGCAAGGGCCCAAAATTTCACTGTATGTGCGTGGGACGTTGTATGTTGGACGCAGCTTCGGACCCGCACTGGATTGAGCTTGGTATCAGCCAGCATGTAGAAGCATTACCCACATCTGGATGCAGGGCACTTCAGAGCCCCTGCGACTGAGATTATTTTCAACTCTGCCGCCATCTGGCTCCTCTTGGAAGTTTGCAATCGGCCAACCCAGTGCTGCCCGGAGAAGGCCAGCATGGCTCGGCGAGCGAACAGTGAGCCACGAGCCATATACATGTATGTATGTATAACTTGTCGACTGTTCAAATTCACAAAGTGTGCCATTGAAGGGTTGACTTGCGTATCTCTTGATTCGATCGATGCAGTGACGAAGTGCGGCGAGATCTGGCGAACCAGTCGAGAATCGTTTGAGCACAGCCACGAAGGACGGACCGCGGCTGCTTAATCATGGAGGGCGCCGGGAGCCTCAGTCGAGCTTCGTCCTGGGATGCTCCGGGCACGTTGCTGGGACCAGACCAGAGGCTGACTCCTGCACATTGTCACCCATCTGCCCGGGCAAAGCCGAGAGCCCGGTATGCGTGGCTTTTAAGCTCCCAGTCCGATCTTGGGATTCTTTGTTGGTCAGGTCACATCCAACGTTGAGGGCTCGGGCCTCGGCGACCTTGCCCGAGAGGTTTCAACTCGTGGCGCACTCTGAATCTCTTCTCGGTCAGACCGGCTACAAGCTTGGGCCTGGGCAGACAAGACTGTGCTGTGCAACCCAGCAGCCAAGAAGGAACACCGGCATCACAACCTACCTGGAAACAATGCAAGCCGAGTCCAGGCAAATCATTTCCGAAAAACATCCACACACATTGACATCACAAAGGCTTGTGCAGCGAGTCTTCCGTTTCTGTCTCCGGTCGGAGTGGGGGTCCTGGGCGCCTCTGCAGCAGCAACACGCTTGCAGCGGACTCGTTGAGCACCGCGCGCCTCCAGTTGCGAACCACTCGAAGACTGTCGCCGCCGTAGCCCTGAAACCAGGCCCCTGCAGGAGGAGGAGGAAGGTACAGGAGGAGCGAGGTGGCGAGCAGCAGCGGAAGGAGCATCGTTTGCGTTGCTTCGTGTGCTCTGGCAGCACTGCCGTGCGTGCGACCGGCCGAGGTGTCTCTGAGGGCAAGCCCCAGCTCCCGGCAGCCGCTGCAAAGAATGCGAGGCGCAGCTCTGCAAGACAAGACCGTTTTGCGTTAGGATGTAGATTATGTACTATTCTGTGCTTCGACAGGCTATGACGGATCGTAACGTAAAGGATAACAAGGGAGTGGACTGTACTTATGCGCGCACACCTGCGCGTTTCAATTCTGCACTATGACATACTTTGACGTAACGGTGAAATGCTGGTAAAATAATTGAGGAGATGGAGCATGTAAGCGTACCGTGCTAACCATGCGACATTTGCAGAAGAAGGTGCTCTCTCCCCAGTGCTTGCGGCTTTAGGTTTCAAGCCGAATCGTTTTACGGTTGCTGTGTTGCAGCGGTTGTGCTGAAGACATGCTTTGGAAGGGCCGGTGTGATTCCTTTTCCTCGTTCGGTTTCTCCGCTTACATACTCGCCATATTCTTCTTAAGCCCTGACCTTGGCGGGCCGAAAGACCCCTATCGGTTGGAAGCAAGAGGACAAAACAGGCGACTTCAGCTTAAGGTCATCAGAGTCACTAGGATCAGAGTTTGGCAGGAGTCAAAACAGCCGCGCTCAGCGGCGCCGTACCGCCACGGACTGTGCCACGCAGGAGGCCGACTGTTCGCTGAGTTGCTGTTGCCGCATTGCTCTTGTTGCTATGCTCGTATTTTTAGAGCTGATTCTTACACTCACTAAGGCTAAGGACTTGTTTTGCAGGGCCTCGCAGACATTTCTGCATCGGAACCCTCGACCCGCTGCATGCACTTGTATGCTGAGGTTTACTGTTCAGTCTTGGCCCAGCAATTCAAACAGGGATTATCGTCTCCACTGCCATCGGCAAAACAGAGTGCCCAGCCGATTGCCGATTGCTGCAGTGGGTCCCAGATCGAAACATCTCCAAACGTCCTTGTCGGAGGTTACGATCCGTAGCCGTCCAGTTGTCAGGACCAGTGCCATCCCAGGAAGATCTTCATAGGTGGTCTCGCGCACAAGCCACTCGGTGCAAGAGCTGCGCTGCCCTTGTCACAACAGGGTGACGAAGGGTACGCAAGGCAGCTTTGAAGTTGTGGATCTCAATTCACAGTGCGGGAATCCCACCAGGTGTTCTAGAAGTCCAAGCAAATGCTGTGCAGAGCTGTCGGGTGGGCCTTTTCACCTCTGTCATTTTTCTGTCTGAGCAAAGGACGACAACGCAACACCTCAGGGACTACTTCGCCAGCCGGACATCGTTTTGATGTTTTTTTTGTTCGCAAGCTTAGTGCGAAGGGGCATTCCAAGAGTGCTTGTTTCTGCACTGTCGTGGCTGTGCAATCCGGATCCGTTTCAAGGTCACAAGGCCTCTATCCACATCTGGGAAAGTCTAGTTAGTTCTGTACCCGTGAGTTTGTCCAGCCTCAGTGTCCTGTATACATCATTTCCGGAACATCATATTACGTATTGTGCCCTGCCCGAAGTTTTCCGCCAGGTGAAGTACGGCGGGATTGTGGATGCTGTTGTTCTGTTGCGCCCTCGAAGAGACTTCGGGGTTGCCTTGGCACGGGCGAAGACATGATTTGCTGCAGAAGAGTCACAGTGCAAACTGGGTGTTCTGCCCTTCTGCGCTGCTGACTCGCGGTCTCGTGGGCAGATCGAGGCATGAGACCTTCAAGGGTTGCAGTAGTTCAGGCGCTGGCCTGATGGGCGCTCCCGTGGCTTTGGCTACGTCACGTTCTCCGAGGCTCGGAGTGCTGAGCTGTAGCTCCCCCCCCCGGTGCACCTGAGCAGTTCTCCCTCTCGCCTGAGCAGGTGCAAGGTGCCCAGGCGGCTCTGAACGATGCGCACCAGGCTGTGAAAAGGAAATGCTGTGAAGAGCGAGAATGATATTCCTCTCGTTTTTGTTGCCAGATTGGGGGCCGACAAGTGGACGTCAAGAGGGCTGTGCCTGGCTGGCATGCTTTGGCGTCCGTCTTGTCTTGTCGAAGTCGATCTATGCAACTGTGGCTTTGTGTTGTGGAGACCCTGTGTCAAGCATGCGGTAGGCCTGGCACGAACAAGCTCTTTGTCGGGGGCTTGCCGCAGAACACTGCTGCAGCTGAGCTGCGAGAGCACTTCGAGGTTCATGTCCGAGCAATCCAGATCACTGTGTCTGTGTGTGCCAGGAGTTCACATGCTGAGAGCACAGAACCAGATGTCAGCAACATAACCCAAGTCGCTTTGTGTGTGTGTGTGAATTCGGGGAGCCAGGCATTTGGAACCGTGTCTGACGCGGTGGTTATGCAATTCCGGCAGGTTTGGCAGAACATTGACTATGTACAGGGCAGCACCAGTGTGTGCAGCGTGACTGGGGCAGACGACGTTGCTGTGATCCAAACAGGGACAGGGAGGCTCGAGGAAAGCGGAATGAAACCTCAGGTACAGAGGTCTTGCAAAAGCTGCTTGCAAGCTACCGTTTGCAAGGGGTTCCCGATGACCTTACACAGATGCAGCATCCTTTGTTCACCCGCTGGTGGCACTTTTCTTGCCACGTTGCCGGTCTTGTCTGGGATGTCAGTGCATCCAGGGCTTTGATATGCTCGAGGTCTTGCAAAAGCTGCTTGCAAATTTCCGTTTGCAAGGGGTTCCCGATGACCTTACACAGGTGCAGCATCCTTTGTTCACCCGCTGGTGGCACTTTTCTTGCCGCGTTGCCGGTCTTGTCTGGGATGTCAGTGCATCAAGGGCTTTGATATGCTCGAGGTCTTGCAAAAGCTGCTTGCAAATTTCCGTTTGCAAGGGGTTCCCGATGACCTTACACAGGTGCAGCATCCTTTGTTCACCCGCTGGTGGCACTTTTCTTGCCGCGTTGCCGGTCTTGTCTGGGATGTCAGTGCATCAAGGGCTTTGATATGCTCGAGGTCTTGCAAAAGCTGCTTGCAAATTTCCGTTTGCAAGGGGTTCCCGATGACCTTACACAGGTGCAGCATCCTTTGTTCACCCGCTGGTGGCACTTTTCTTGCCGCGTTGCCGGTCTTGTCTGGGATGTCAGTGCATCAAGGGCTTTGATATGCTCGAGGTCTTGCAAAAGCTGCTTGCAAATTTCCGTTTGCAAGGGGTTCCCGATGACCTTACACAGGTGCAGCATCCTTTGTTCACCTGCTGGTGGCACTTTTCTTGCCATGTTGCCGGTCTTGTCTGGGATGTCAGGGCATCCAAGGCTTTGATATGCTCGAGGTCTTGCAAAAGCTGCTTGTAAATTTCCGTTTGCAAGGGGTTCCCGATGACCTTACACAGGTGCAGCATCCTTTGTTCACCCGCTGGTGGCACTTTTCTTGCCATGTTGCCGGTCTTGTCTAGGATGTCAGTGCATCAAGAGCTTTGATATGCGCCAGCACTTGCAACAGCTGCTTGCAAGTTACCGTTGGTGCAGCGTCCTTGGTTCACCGGCTGGTAGCAGTTTTCTTGCTACAGTATGTTGCTGGTCTTGTCAATGATGGAGACGTGGTTAGGGCTTTAGCAACGTTTCTTCCCATTCCTGTTGCTGCAGATATGTTTGCTGGTAGAAAACCTCCTGTTATCGCGTCTGCTTAAACAGTGTGGTAAAGTCCCCTTCGCATGGCAGGATTGATCCGGCTACCAACCGCTCCCGTGGGTTTGGCTTCGTTTGCTTCCTGCCGGGCCAGGAGGCGCCCGTAGCAGGAAGAAATTTCGGCACAGTCCCTCAAAACTCTTTACGTCGCATCTCATGGCAGGGTGCTGCTTCTGCGGCCTTTGCTCTGGAGCAGAGCTTTGGTGGCACTGTTCCTTTCTCCGTGTGTGCGTGTGTCTCATAAGATTGCGCTGTGAACGTGGCACTGAATTGCAAATGCGAGGTACGAGCACCATCGGATTCGTGGCAAGTGGATTGAGGCTCGTGGCGTTTTGGTGTTGGAGATTTCTGACAGGGCAGCTCTTGCACCTGATCTGGCGATGTTTTGGGGCATGGAGATTTATCTTTGCAGTGGTGTGTGCTCTGATGCAATCATCACACCCCGAACTGTTCATGGCACAGCCTACAGCCAGCAGATTCTGTTCGCGCAGGTAAAGAGTGCGGCACCTCCACACAAGCTGGCCAAGGCGGGCAGTGACAACATGAGCCCTGCTTTTGCGAGTCTGTCCAGCTTGCAGGGAAGGTCTGGCTTCTGCTCGGATCTTCGGGAAACGAGCTATAAATAGGCCCTTCCTACCCAAAACCAACTTTCATTGATGCAGTTAATCTCGGCCCAACATTGCCAGGATGGCGCCGCCTCGTCGCCCTCAGCGGCTTCAGAGTCAGGCGGCTTCAAGATTAAGATCGGAGTATTTCAGTAAGGGAGACCGGCAAGCACGTTTGAATTTTTTCTTTGGTTCTTTGCATCACGCTGGGCTTGCGACAGGTGTTGTGGTTTTGTCTTTCCTGCAATCAAAGCGCAGTCATTGACGCAGTAAAGCAGTAAAGCTAGCAAGCAGACAGACAAAACATCTGTTTGTTGAAAAACTGCCGCTGTCAGCTATCGTGATCAAAGCGGTTTTTCTATTAGGCACTGTGAAGAACACCTATCAAATAGATGAACAACCACAGCGAGAACCACAACGACGACCACAACCACAACAACAGCAAGAGCAACAGCAACAAAACCAGCAGCTCTTGCTACTGCTACTGCTAGTGCCAGTGATACTGCGACTGCGACTGCTGCAACTACTGCTGCTACTGGGCCTACTACTGCTACTACTGTTGGTGGTGCTGCTGCTACTGCTACTGCCATCGCCACTGCTACCGCTACTCCTACTTCTACTACTGCTACTACTTTATACTACTACTACTACTACTACTACTACTACTACTACTACTACTACTACTACTACTACTACTACTACTACTACTACTACTACTACTACTAATTACTACTACTACTACTACTACTTCTTCTTCCGGTCGCTGCGAAAAGAGTCTCTCGCTCGGCGGTCCAGTATTGAGGCGAGGGCTGCCCCCCGGCGCATTGCGCGATCCGTCCCTTGGGATCCCATCTGCATGCCCCGACCCGAAGGTCCTTGTAAGCAGGCATGCAGGCACTCACAAGCGAAACTGAAAGTTGGGCCGACTATGTATCGAGTGGATCTAGGACTGTACAAATACGCACGTTACACAGTGGCAGGGCATTAACAACAGTGGGCCAACTTACGAGGCTAGGTACGTCAGGCTGTGCACCGAAGGTACAAGAACACATATGTGTTACTGTATGTTGCAGCAAGCGCGGCACTCTCACATCGCTGCGCAGAGCGGTTATCATCCGTTATGAGTATGCCTGTGTCATGCGGCTGGTACAGCAGGCTGCGGTAATGACCTTCAGTGCATCGGCTGCCGTAGTGCAACAGCGCCGCGATGCGGCGGTAGGTGACAAAACGCTGTTCCAGTGCTTGCCCAGTGCCCAGACTACCGGTGAAAGCAGGCAGGACGATAAGCGGTTCAGGTGCTACTCTTTGAGGTGCTTTCGTGGGGGAGGCATGGCTGGGGCTATCACTACAGAAGCGGTTAATCTGTAGACACAGCACTGTCGGAGCGGTCACAAGGCCCAGCAGTCCAGCCTGATGATGCCATTTGTCAATTAGAACCTGCAACCCGAAAACCGGATTATGGGGACTACGGGTGTGAGGCAGGGCAGGATCATGAGGCTGGACGCGGAGCAGGTGCAGAGGCTCAGCCAGGAACAGTGGCCACGTGTGGCCTGCGTCCACACACGTCACTGGCGCAATGTCATCGGGCCTTCTGTTCTCCCAATCCCCTTGAGCTAGTGTGCCTAGTCTGGACCTAAGAAACCCAAGGTATTCCGCTATGTCATGCTGCCTATGAGGTTGCGGCCAGCGGCTGTGCAGCGAAACCCAGTTGATGCGCTTCCACAGAAGCACAGGCATGGTCTGCTTGCGAAGCCATGCCCAGATCCCTGCAAGCACGGATCCCAACAGCTCACTGCAGCTCGGACCTGGGAGAAAAGTGGAGACCCAGAGCAGTGCAAGCAAGGCAGCATGACTGTAGCAGTGATTGCTGGTGTTGATTAGGCGTAGGGCCCGGACTGCTCGGCGATCAGCTTCTGGATCAGCACGGCCAGAGGGCTCCGACCCATTTTCTCTCCACGCATGCTCATGATGACTGTGCGGCAAAGGCCGCTGTGGCAGATGCGATGAAGGTGTCCCCAAGCCACATGAGCCTCCTTGGTGCGCATGCCCAGTTGGAGCATCATGGGCAAGATCTGGCCGCCATGGTCCCGGACCATTTTCCGGGTTGAGTGGAAGCGGAGCACCGTGTGGGGCAGCAGGATCAGTGCCTGGAGCTCTTGCAGAAGCTTGGCCGCCTGGTCGAGGGTCATGGGCTCCTTGTCCGTTCGGACCTTCAGGCACTGATCTTTCTTGTCCCAGCCGAGGTAGGGCACATTGTTCTGGGAATCCAGGATCATCATGTCCCTGGCCTCCTGGAGCGTCTGCTCCGTCTTGGTGCACTCTGCCAGGCGCTGGGTCATGACTGTGAGGAGGTGCTGCAGCAGCACCGCCCTCAAAGGAAGCGTGATCTCCTCCGGCTTGTCGGTCTTGGTCTGCTTCCAGACTTCCGAAACCTTCACCAACTCCGGCACCATGCTGAGAACTCCCTGGGTCTGGAGAAAGAGGATGAATCCGCTCTCCGTGCGATCGATGGAGAACTGGTCCTCGTGGCGCAACGCCAGCCGAGCCAGCGCCACACACAGTACTTCGGAGTCGGTGGCTTCCAGGCTCCCGTGTCCTGCCGGCCGCTGCGTTCGTCCCGGCTCCAGGTCTTCCACTGGCTGCCGCGACTGCCCCAGCTCTGCGTGGTCTCCTTGTGGTGACGGCCGTGGCTCCGATCTCCTCGCCCATCGCCAGAGGGTGGCGGGCGTTCCTGGCTGGGCTCCGAGCCGCGACCCTTGCTTTGGCCTCGGGGGTACTTGTTTGCCCCGCCCTTGCCCCGGTGCTCCTCGTCCCGTCGGTCCCCGCGCTTGCCTTCCCGAGAGGAAGTGTCCATGTGCTCCGGCTTGTTCTGGGGAGGTGGCTCGTCGCGAAGGGAGTCGAGCTGTGGCTCCTCGTCCTCCGTCTCCAGGAGATTCTCTCCGTCCGGTAGCGGGATGGCAGAGGGAGTCGGAGCACGTGTTGTCGTGCCGCTGCTGCCCTGTCCCGCTTGGCTCGCGGTCGCCATCATTGCAAGCATGCCCGGCTGCGTGTCGAGCATGCTCCTCATCAGCCGGATCTGGCTGTCCGCTGCCACCAGCTCCTTGTTCTGCTGGTCCGTCAGGGTGAGCTCCTCGGCCATGGTGCGGAGCCTGGCAGTGGACAAGCTGAGTAAGCAGGCCCGTGCGATATAGCGTAATGCAGGATTTGGCATGCTTGATGCGACTGACGTGTTGCACCTTGAAGTCAACAGCACAGTGGGCGCAGGGACTGCTTAGGGCCGTGTGCCTGTCCTCGAGCCAGCTGTTCAGAGCTTGCTGGACTGTCAAGAGACAACTGTGCTGCGCCTGAATATGCCGGCTAAGGTAGGTGGGCCGTGCAAGCCACTGTCCACAATACAAGCAGTAATTCTGATCTGTCTGCCGGATTTTGCGAGAGAGAAGTCGCCAGTCTCCTTCACGGGCAGCGGCTAGGAGCTCTCCAGGCACATTACTGAGGAGGCGCTGCAATTCCGAGGCATCCGTGGCAGGTGTTTCTAAGGGTACATGTTGAGCAGCTGGCTGTGGCTCCAAAAATGCCTCAGAGTAACCCCCCTCTCCCGGGCCGGGAGAGGGGGGTTGTATGGGCTCAGTGGGGACCGAAACAGACACCTGGGCATTGCTAGGGCACGTTTCAGGGAGATCTTCGGCTTGTGGCTGTTTCTCGGGTAGCCTAGGGGGCAGGGTCGAACTGTCAGGTTGCAGGGTAGGGTCGGTGATGCAGCTCTCGGTCGTAAGGTACTGTACAGAAGGAGAACCGTCGAGTTCTCTGCCTGCTGTGCTCGAAGAAAGGCTCGCAGGTGCAGTGGGCAGCACACGCAAAGGCTCGGAAAGTTCTGGAGCTGGGCCATTGGCCGGCTTGTGTAGTACACTACAGCGCTGCTTTTCAAAGTGTTGCAAGAACCACGGCCATGCGCTGAACTCCCAGTGACAGAAACGACACGTTGGCATGCCATGCAATGCGTACTGCATGTAATCCTGTCTGAGGCTCTGTTGGCTACGTCGGGGTACAGTAACGGTAGGGCTGCAGAGGCAGGGTTAGGTCAGTAGCAGGCTGGGGTGGCTCAGGTTTATGTTTCTGGGTGCGATGCTTACGCATACTGGCGACTGTGTCAAAATACAGGCCGCAGTCAGGGCATGCCACCGGTTGCACATCTTCCGTGACAGGTCGAAGTGTGGCACCTTCGGCGCCAATGCGCGGGCGCGGCCGCTGACAATCCGTAACAAAGCTCTGCAGGTTTGACAGTCGGCGTTGGGTGGAGGCTGTGAGTAGACCAAGCTTGGGCTCCTGCAGGCACTGCGTTAGCCTATGCTGCGTACGCTCAAACAGAATTTGCAAAGGTTCAGGGAGCTCCAGCCTGTGCAGCAGGGCTTCGGGCGCTTCTCTAGTGATGAAGGAGGGTGCTTTATCTAATGTACGTAGTTGACGTAGGACATGCTTACGCAAGCGGGCTTGGTCAGTGGGGTCTAGCTGCACACAGTCCAGGCCGTGCAACAAACTGGCGAAAGGACAAGCCTTCCAGATGCGCAGTTTTTGCGCGCGCGTGAGCCCGCCAGAGCGGAGAGAAGGAAGGAGGCGATTGAAGGCAGTCCAGCTTTGCCGTATTCTACCCAGGAGGGTCTGGTGCTCGAAACGATCGTAGGACAGCTGAACTCCAAGATAAGTGTGTTGCGTCACAATTGGCAAGCGGACCTCCCCCGTCTCCATGGGCACTCGAAACACACGCCCCTTGTGCGGGTCATGCACGACAAACTGTCGCAGCAAGTTGCGTACCTGCTTGCCCCGCAATCCTAAGAGTACTACGGTTTTCTCCACACTGATTTTCATCCCGAATTCCTGCAGAACCTGAAACACGTAACTGATGGCACGCCTAGCTGCAAGTAGTTGATCTTGTGTGTTAATGATCCATTGGATGAGCAGGTCATCTGCATATGCGGTGATACAGCTCAAGGGAATATGAACCGATAGTTTGCGTAGGATCAAGCAAGTGAACAGCGTCCACAGTGACGGTGCCAGGCCACATCCTTGACGCACCCCATTAGAGGTGCCAATGCTTTCAACATGCTCGCCGTGGCGAAACTGCATGCGTGCTCGGTCATGTATGTTCATGATGGTCCAAGCTGTGGCACTGTCAATGTTGGCCTGTTCAAGCGCATCTTGCAACTTAGCACGCGGCATCAGATCAAATGCCTTCTGTAAATCAAGGGATAAGGTCAGGCCACCTCGGCACCCCTCGGGCTGGTGGCCCTGTCTGCGCAAATGTATGGTTTGCTGTTGCGTACGCATGATAGCTCTAACAGCACTACAGTGTGTGAAGGCGCGGTCAACTGCGTCTGCGACGCCTCGGTTAGCCGAGTAGGCAAACTGCGGCAGCGAGCCGAGAGCGAGCTGAAGTTGTGGCTGTATTCTGTGATTGAGAATAGCTGCCAGTGCTTTGGCAAGAGGTGGAAGGAGCGATATGGGCCTGAGGGACTCTGGTCCAATAAGCGGCTTGGAGGGTTTGGGGATAAGACAGATTTCAGCCACATTCAGATTCTCAGGCGGGTCGCTTCGCATATCGCAAAGCCAGGAGTTGAGTAGGGGCAGGCACTTGCCAGCCAGAACTTCAGCCGCCTCTCGCCACAACAAGGCCGGAGCTTCGGCCTTCGGAAGTGCCTTGTTGGCCGGTAGTCTCGCGATGGCATTCTTCAGTTCACAGTGTGTGATTTGAAGCGGAATGGGCGGGGGCAAACCTAGAGTCGGGGAATGGCACTGATTGAAGAGCTCCAGGTAATATGTTTTGACTGTGGTTATGGTTCCAAGAGAGCTAAGGGGCATGCCATCCTGGGCCCGAAGCTGCAACTTGCGTCGTGGCGCCTTCGGTGCAAGGCCGCGCAGGAGCTGGAAAACTCCCGTCAGCCCGTCACGGGCAGCCGCAGCGTCTGCAAGGAGTCTGGCAAGGCGTTCTTGCTTGAGTCTACGGCAATGTCGGTGCAGCTCTCGTTGCTTACGATTCAGGAGCATCACGTTGCGCCAGTGCCGCCAGACTCCAGCAGCAGTGGTCAAGCTGGATAGTGTTGTGCCACGTACTCGCCGATGCAGCGTCCAGAGGCTTTCTAGCGGAATGGCAAGTGCGTCCGAGCCAGGATCGTGGGGGGCTAGGGCATGCGGGGACTTCTGGGCTACTGCATAGTGCCAGGCTTTGGTTAGCAATTCAGCTGTGCGCAGCTGCGGTTGCGCAGCGTGTACCAACGTGACCTGTGCAGAAAACTCAGGCAGAAGCGCCGGCTCGCGCAGGCATGTATCCCGAACTCGACGCAACGTCAGCACCGGCTTTGTGACGCTACCTCTGGGGGCTCTGGGGTAGGGAAGACTGCCTAGAAGGGGTCTATGTCTTAAACCTTGGGTTGGGACAAAGGGAAGATCTACAGGCTGAGCGTGCCGGGCTTGCGTGTCCGAGTGGGCATGCCGGGCAATAGCAAAGTCTATCTGACTATTTCCCTGGGTGCCGGATCCAGCGGAAAGGAATGTGCAAGCGCCAGGCCCACGCTTGCGCCATGTGTTGAGTGCAATCAGTTGGTGCTGCTTAAGCAGCTCCTGCAGAAAATCAGCGTCCGAGGCGTGTTGTGCCTGCCTAGGATATACCCCTCTGCCTACATGGATGCCATCTGTGTGCAGATCACTGTTCATGTCAGCCAGGATTAAGACTTGATTGCGCCTAGGGATTGAGTGAAGCACTTTAGCTAGCTGCGTCCAGAACTCGGCACGTCGCTCTAAGAGGTGTTCTCGCTGTTGGTGCCTGGCTTGTCGATTCCCTAGGGACCACGCGAATTGGTAGCCTACCACGACCTCAATGCAAGGGTCAGCCTCCAACCTGATATGCAGGAGTCGGCCCGGGATAAGTTCTCTGTGCTGGATTTTGGCTTCAGGGAAGGAACGCTTGTTTAGCAGCACCAGGAGCCCGGCTTCAGACTTAGAGCCTCCACTATGTATAGCATGATGCTGTGCAGTAGTGTACTCTAGAGGACCTTTCCAGTGTGTTTCCTGGACAGCTATCAGGTCTAGCTGGGGCTGGCCCGGCGACTGGAGCCAGTGCTTCAGCTCTTGGTGCCGGGAGGCATGCAATCCGCCGGCATTCCACGACAAGTAGTGAAATCTGGCAGTAGGGCACTTAGGGACCTGAGGGGTTCGGGGCGGTCTGGGGGTGTGTTGCACTCCTAGTTCAGCTGCCGACAGCCAGCGGCCTCTGTATCGTGTGGCTCCGTGAATTCGTGCTCGTTGCTGCGCTCGAGCAAAGGCGCGCTTGCGCACCGGGCATGCATTATTAACTGGACTTACACCGATGGGGTTCGTTCTTAAAATGGGCACGGAATTGCTGGGTATGCTAACTCCAGAGGGTTCCAGGTGTGGATGGCCCTCAACCCTCGTGTCTGCAGGAGACGGCATAGCTCTGATGACTTGCGGGAATAAAGCACAAAGGAAAAGACCCCAAATAACCTTATGCTTATGAACGGTGGTAGCCATACTCCTGCCCTCGGACTTGGGACCGAGGCGGCCTCGAGATTTAGGGGCCTGGGGTCGGGGTGCTTGCGTTGCCAGCGCGAGAAAAAGCAATCTACAAAGCCAGCTGTACAGCAAGTTAAGAAGTCTCAGCAGCAAGTTCAGTACAGGTCGCTGTCTGAGAAGTCCTGGCGAACCTCGGCGTCGGCGGTGTCGGCGTCGTCGTGGGGCCAGCATGCTGAGCTTGAGCTTGCTCCGGCGTAGGTGCCGGCCATAGTCACGAGCCAGCGGCAGGCTGAGAGCTCGAGCTGCTGGCCGCAGGGTGCGGCGCAGCATTGTCATCGTCGTCCTTGGGTGTCTCCAAGCCTGGCCGACCTGGAAGCTTCGAGGGCGGCACCGGCACCAATCGGCCAGGGTTGCCATGATACCATTGCTGGAAGTCGTGCTGCTGGTCAGCGTTGAGCAAAGGCCAGAGAAGGGCCACACTGCGTTGGTACAGGCTGTACCCCGCCACAGTCTGCAGCTCCGCCACCAGGTGTTGGGCGCAAGCAGGCTCCATGTGCTCGCTGAGGTTCCGGAAGGCGAAGCGAACCAGGATCTGGAAGACCTGTGCCCGGGGAGGGCAACCTTGTTGTCCTGTCTGGTAGAGCCATTCCACATCATTGCGTGGCAAAGCCTGGGACAGCACGTTCTCCATGAGGTAGAAGGCGGCGTGTAGGCGTTGGTGCCGGTCCTCGCAGAGCTGGGGTTGCACAAAAGCCAGGGCCTGGTAGGGGTCCATTGCAAACAGCTTGGGTCGCTGAGCAGCGAGGGAAGAGCTGGCGCTGCGTCGCTTGGAGGTTGTTCTCTCGCGTACTTTGCTCCAGGTAGAACCAGCAAGCCTCTTGCATGGCTCTGGCACGAAACTGTTCGGCAAAGGAGCTGTGTTCCGCCGTGATTCTGGCCAGTCGGGAGTCAGGGGACTCAGGTCGGACCGGTCGAGCGTCAGTATAAGAACTGCTTGTAGCAGATGATACATCATCGCCGGTGGAGCCTGCGTCCGAGCTCTCCTGGGCAATTGATCGTGGCATCCTCCGGCCCGCAGGCCCAATAAGCAAGGATGCTCCCTGACAGGCAGTCAGCAGCGCCGAGGTCGAACAGCCGGAGTGCAGTAATGGCAAAGCAGCAGGTCGTGGGGCCCACAAAAGGGGAAAACTTCAGTTCGGGCCGAGACACTACTACTACTACTACTACTACTACTACTACTACTACTACTACTACTACTACTACTACTACTACTACTGCAACAACGGCGACGACTACTGCTGCTACTGCTTCTGCCCCCTGCCCCACTGCCCTTGCCCGTGCCACTTCCCTGGCTCTCCTGCCCCTTCCACTGGCACTGCCGTTGCCGCAGCCACTGCTGTAGTAGTACTGGTACCAGCACTCGTGCTCGTACTCGCGCTCGGACTGGCAGTGGTGGTGGTGGCGGTGGTGGTGGTGGTGCTGCTGCTGCTACTGCTGCTGCTGCTACTACTACTACTACTACCACTACTACTGCTGCTACTACTACTGCTACTACTACTGCTACTACTACTGCTACTACTACTGCTACTACTACTACTACTACTACTGCTACTACTACCACTACTACTGCCACCACTACTACTACTACTACTACTACTACTACTGCCACCGTCACGACGACGGCCACTACGACTACGACAACTGCTACTACTGCTACCACCACCTACTACGACAACTGCGACGACTGCTGCTGCTACTGCTGCCGCTACTGTCGCTCCTGCACTAGCACCACTAGTGACGCCGGCAGCAGCGGCAGCACCGGCAGCACCAGCACCACCGCCACCGCCGCTGCCGCCAACACAACCACAAGTAAGTGTGCTAAAACGACGGTGAAAGCGATGATCATGCCTGCCACTGCCGTCGTGAAGCTTTGGGCCCTGAACCTGTGAGGTGGTCCTCCTCAGCTGTGTCTGTCCTCGCCCGCAGCCTCTCCCACCGCCAGTCCTTTGGTCGGGGGTCCCAGAACACAGTGCAGCTGCAAGAGTGATACCCTAGTCACTCTAGTCACTCTAGTACACTTTTCGTTGGGTGTCCATGCGAGGGTGCAGACACACGTGACGTGCTGCATGAGGGCGCAAGATGTTTCCGAAAGCTTTTCGTCGGCTATTGTCATTCATCAACCGCAGGCAGGAAGCCCACAATCGTCCACGTCTGCTGTAGGGCCCTTACCACCGGGTTCTTGTTCAGCACCGCCTTTGAACTTTGTGGGATGCGAACCTAGACTTGTTGAATGCACTGCGTCGTGCCCACGGCGAGGCCACTCCACAGGTGATGTCTTTAGCGCAGGCACTGCGCATGCCCCTTAAGGGCCAGAGCCCCACGGTGCGGTTCCCAGCGCCTGTGCTCTGAGGGGTGGGGCATAGGCTGTGAGAGCGAAGCTTCCGAGGCCGGGCCACAAGCCCAGGAGCGGCCGGTGGTCGGACTGGCATGTTTCTGCTGTTTCTGGTCACACACCGGACCTGCCATGACATGCCATGATTTGCCCTCATTGCTGCACTCTTCGTGGCTCCAAGGCCTCTCCGCAGCACCGCAACCGAACGGTGCGCAACCTTGGCCTGCCCTCGAAGTCGCTGGAGCCGCAGAAGGCTGCGCAAAGGGAGCATATGGTAGCGCTGGAGCCAACCTTGTTGCTCCGGAGGTGATGCTTCCTGGCGCGGTGGGCAGCCCACCGGGACTCGGCGCCACAGCTGCAGCTGCCTTGGCCGCCATGTGTGCGGCCCAGCGACGAGAGAAGAGAGACCACGAGCGCCGGAGCTTCGCCGAGATCGCGACTCGCGACATCCTCCGAGGCGTGCCTTGGGGTCGCCGCCGGGCCTGGAGGTCGACGAAGCCGAGGAAGGCGAGGAAGGCCTGGAGGCCGAGGACCTCGAAGAGGCCGAGGAAGAGCCGGGGGCACCCAGCAGCGCAGACGCAGCGCAGAGACGCAGCGCACGAGCAGTTTCACAGCACTCCGGCTCAGGTCTGCAGGAGATGCCACGCCCGTGATCAACGCAGCATCCCCCGAGCCCGGGCCCCCGCAGAAAGACCCTGCAGGAATATTTTGGGTGGGACAAGCAGATTTGCGCAGGAGCCGCCTTGCACTGTCTCCCACGGTCGCTGGCCGTGAGTCGGATGTGGAGGCAGCTCAAGCCACCTGGTTAAGTGATACGATGACGAGCGTAGTCACAACAATGTACTCCAACGATCGTACGAAGAGAGAAGTTGGCGGATTCCCCACAAATCACCCCCACTCTCACACTCCCCGTCTTGCAGGGCGACTCACACAAGCTGGGCGAACGGTCGGGCCGTCAGATTTTGAGATCTGGACGTCTCAACTTAGGCAGTTTTCGGATGCGAAGTTCGGAAGACATGACCACGAACCATTTAGAGCCGACCGGCCCGGCCTTCTGGTCCGTGGACTCGCCAGGAACACCGTGGACTTCTCCAACAGCTTCGAGTTGCACAGGAGTGGCTGTGCATGCTACGCTATGCTACGCTCTGCTACGCTGCTACGGCTGTCTCTTCACTTTTTGCAGGAGCTTGGAGCAGCTCATCCGTTTGCGAGCCGAGGGGGCCGGGCCCCCAACCCCGGCCGGAGCTCTGCAGCGAAAATCAGTTCGCGTCTCTGGCTTTGAAGCCCAGGCCGAGACCTCCAGCCCCAGCCGCTAATTCAGGAGGAGACCGTGAGGTGATGCTCTCGGAAAGATCTTCGCAGCTGTCCGCTCCAAAGACCTCATCCCGCCGAGGGCTCCTGCTTCCCGTAGATCGAGCAGGGGTCGAGCTGCGGCTTCCACCGCGCAGGCGCCGGATGTAGGCAGTTTACAATTCGCAACGGATGTGGCTGAAACTGTGAATGTGGCAGGCTCAAAGAATTGGACATGGCTGTCCCTTACCTTGCCTACTGCATGGGTCAGCCGAGAACCGTAGCAGAAAGGGCTTCACTTTTGTTGTAGTCCTTGCCTTGCCTGGCCAAAACAAGTTTACGAAACTCAACGATTCGCGCGAGATGCGTGTTTTGGCCAGCGCACGTTGATGCTGACACCTCTGGGTGGGCACTTAATTAGCGCTTGCTTTGAGAGCAAGCATTGCATATCGCTGGGAAATGCCGAGATGGCCCGGACTCCGCGAAACACAGTCTCCTCAAGACTTGCGACCGTCCTGATGTTCTTTCCTGATAACTTAGTATGCGTCCTCTAGTGAACTGCAGTTTGAGGCTTGCTTCCGGTGCAAGTCTCAGAAAATTGCGGCGTGATGCCTTCGACTTGAGAACTAATGCAGATGAATAGCCAGAATTTGTTGTAAGTGAATCCGCTTCCACTGTTGTTTCGGTACGAGGCCAAGATCGCTAGGGCAGGGAGGTGCCACTCAATCATGTGTTCAGTGGTTCAGTGTCTGTAACATGCCGTTCTTGTTGCGCCATAACACAGCGGTATGGTATCAGTGGGGAAGATGGCATCTTCTTAGTGCTGAGAGAGCGAAGAAGCACCTTCGCATTCGTGCAGCGCCGCCAAACGGCTTCTGCACAGTAGTTTGTGGATGCAGGTTTTCTGCATCACTAGCTGGAGCACTTGGAGTTCGTTCAGGCACCGGCCTGAAAAGAGTGACAATTTGCTCCTGTAGGCGTGTTAATTGGTCAGCGACGGCAGATGAAGCAAGAATAGATAGTCCGATCAGGCGGACTTAGAGTGCAGCCTTGAAGCAAAACAACAAGAGAGTCAGAGGAGTCTGGTAGCAGAGACTCTTGGCATTCCTTGGCATTGGCCGTCCCATTCCTACCATCTGCCCATCGCTACTCATGCAGCTGGGCCCTATGAGAGGGGGTCAGCCAACTTCAGCCACGTATAGCTCTGCCCTTTGGTGCCGAGTGGGGGCCGACGTTGGCCCAATGTTTCACTGTTGCCTCAGACAGCGCGTGGCTTCCGGAGTGCAGCGAAGCATATAGGTGCCGTAAAGGCCAACCGTACGGCTGAGATCGTCTCGCTTGCGGAGCTACAGTCTGTCTGTGAGCTGCTCAAGGCAGTACTGCAGTAGGCCTGGTGACGCAAGACACTCTGAGGAGCGGTGTCTGGCTGTTGTGGCGTGAGGTCCGAGTCAGAGTTGCTGCTAAGCGGACCAGGGATGTACAGCTCGTTGAAGTCGTAGGTACCTCTCAGAGCTCATGCCACTGTCAGCGCTGATCCTCGTTTCGGCTGTTGCCAGCCGGGTCTTGTTGCACCTTGCGGCACACCTTGGTGTCTTTTTTTGGTCATTATGTTTGCTACGCTTGCGCTTGCGATCATGGTCCGGACCTCAGTCGGAGAGGCTGTGGGGGAATTTTGTACTTGATGTCCTAGCACCTGGAGAGCCTGCCGAAGTAAACCCGGAATAACTAGACCTGAAGTGGACAGTGACGTTCTGGAGAGTTGGGGGTTTGGGGGTTTGACGGTGACGCAGTCGCGAGTGGCAGTACAACCTTTGGCGTGTGTGTTTTCAACTGTCGCTGGCCAAGGAAGTGACGTCGCGCGAGTTGCTTAGAGCGAGAGGTTGGAGACAAATGTGGAAAAGGATCAATGTTTTGTCACCAGGAATGTGAGTCTGACCTGCAAGTGCTGCAGCAAGCTTGAGGTCGGCAATTCAGGATGGCCGAGCTAGCCTGTCGTGTGCGATTATCTCGAGAGGTGAAGCACCTGGCGTAACGTTGCCCACAGGCTCCAGTCTCGTAGAAGCGAATGCCGGGTGCCAGTCTGCAGGCTTACACTTTAGGACTTTGGTTTTCTGCCCTAGTGGCTCTGAGGCCCCAGAGACCCTAAAGCCCAAATGCCTTGACCCCCCAATCTCTCTCTCTCTCTCTCTCGCTCTCTCTCTCTCTCTGTCTCTCTCCGTCCTGGCCAAAGTGCCATGCCACGGAAAAACGCCGCCAGGGGCCAAGCCGTGCAACAGAGACATGAGCCAGGGCTCGCTAGCAGGATGCTCTCATAGAGAGTTTGTTCTTTCTTTGTAGATGGGATAATTGCAGCTTGCATGAAGCAGGAGTATTATTGGGCCTAGCTTGCATCCAGAATCCTGCACGTCCGTGCCCCGTTGGCTCACAGACGCGCGTGCAGGGTCCGTGGTTGTTTTGTGCAGCCTTTGATCTATCTCACAGATCTTTCTCCAAGATGCCTGTCGGTGCCCAGCCCAGTCGCTCCGCGTTTGTATTTTGCTGTAGCGTGCTTGTTGCATCTAAGTGTCGGGATGCTCCTGGCAGGTCTTGGAATCAATGGCTTTGGCCGCATTGGTCGCTTGGTCTTCCGCGCTGCCATGGCTAACCCGGATGTCGAGCTCAAGGCCAAAGATGGCCGGAAGGGGAGGGATTTTTTTGCGTCTCGGAGATAGAGTCAGGGGTTCGGTTGGATGGCTTCTCAGGCTCGCAGGTTTCGAGCCACGCCACATGCCAGTCCGGCAGGCTATCAATGATCCCTTCATGGACTTGAAGTACATGGCCACTCCGTCATTGCATTCGTTTGCAGATGAGCCCTTGCTTGCCTCCGATGCTTCTTAAAGCTCCCGGCCGCCGAGGTCTACCAGCTCAAGTATGACAGTGTCCACAAGATGTTTAACGGAACAGCAGCCTGGCGACACTCCAGAATCGTGTGCTTCATCCTGCGCTTCAGCCATCTCTGCTGTCGTGGGATAGCGATGCAGGTGGCCTGTAAGGAGGACGGCGGAAAAGAGTACTTGGAACCTCGGCATGTAAGAAGCAAAGGCTTCTTTTTGTAAGTCAGTGAAGGGGCACATTGAGTAGTGACTTGTTCTGGGTGGACCGAGATCGGTTGGCTCGGTAACTAGGCCAACCCCGGCACTGTAGCATGTCAGATTGTGAAGACCTAGTCACCTCTTCGTGCGATCTCATGCGAGTATATCCCAAACAGATTTGGGGCGTGCAGCCGCGATTTCTGATGTTGAAGTTCCAGATAAGACTCGAGGTCCAGGCGGAAAGTCAGCATGAAAGGTTGCAGGATGTTTCGTAATTTCAAGAACCGCCTGCCTGATCATGGCATATCATGTCAAATGAGAGATGCTTCCTAGCAGATCTAGCAGGCAATCAATCTCCGTAGCCGTCCATCCCTACGCACGCACCACTGCGAGCGGACGTTCTTAGCTTCATAGCTATCAAGCCCAACGTCAGTAGTTTATTCAACATCGCGGCTCTTGAGCTGCAACGCTCAGGAGCGACAAGAACAGCAAAAACAGTGTTTTGGTGTCAGAAATGGGTAAGGTCGTGAACGGGAAGGACATCCAGGTCTTCCACGAGAAGGAAAGTTTGCCTGTCCGAGTCGCTCCGTCCGAGAGTGAGGGCGCAAACACACTCACACACATATATGACATGCATGTGTATCTTCATGCACCAATGTACATGCATGCAAGGTTTTGGCGTGCTTCTGCATGATTCTGCCAACATCAACGGAGCTGGGCCACTAGCCTTGCTTGCTCCAGTTCCTGTCGCTGGAGCAAATGCCGGGTTACCTGATGAAAGTAAAGTGCACATGCTACTTGTAGCAGAGCATCTTGTTGGGTGTGTATTCAGGGTGAGTCTAAAGTCGACATGACGATGACTGGGTGGGGCACATGATCATGTACATGCTCACCGCACGTCTTTATCAACATCTCATGCGATGGTAGATTCTGCCCTGCACCGTGTGCGTTTGTAAACGCGTGCCTGCTTACTGACGTATGCATGCAAGTATGTCTGTGTATGTATGCATGTAGTTATGCAAGCAACCAAGTAAGTATCGTAAGTAAGGCAGCCGGTGAGTGAGTGAGTGAGTGGGTGAGCAAGCGATCGAGCGATCGAGTGCGTGGGTATGTAATATACTGTAACATTGTAAGTTGTAATACTGTAAGTAACTAAGTATGTATGGCACGGTATCCGGTAGGGTCTGGGAGTGCCTGGGATGACAGGGCAGTGCATGACATGTAGATACATACCAACACCTACATGCCGATAAATTGCGTGCGAGCATACGCACACCTACACCTGCATATGGTGTGGTGTTGCCCACCCCACCACACCCCCGCCCCCCCTGCTTACACCCCCTTAAATCCACATATTTTGCTTCCCCGGCCTCTCTATGGCTGTGGTGCGTGCGGGCCCGGATTATTATACCCCATCTCTCTCCTCCACCCTTTGTTGTGGTGTGCTGTGGTGGTGGGTTGTGGGATTAACTCCCTTCCCCCGTCTCTGTGGTGTGGTGTGTTGGGTTCGGGGTTTGCACCCGCACCTCCGTGCGGGTGGTGGGGTTGTTTCTAGGGGGGGTACTAAAACGCGACACGGCACCATGTTTCTACCTGGTTACCATCCCATCTACCTCCCGACCTTCTTGCTGCAACCCGCCCATTCCACGATGTTATGCTTTGTACATACCTGCCTACCTACTTACCCACATACCTACATACCTACATGCGTATACGTACCGACATACCTACATACATACACACATACACACATGCACAGATTCACACACACACACACCTACATACCTACATACCTACATACCTGCATACCTACATAACTACATACACAGACAAACACAGATGCAAACAAACAAACAAACAATCATACATACATACATACATACATACATACATACATACAGCTACATACACATACGGACAGAGACGCACATTTGCGCGCACATACACATCAGTCACACATGTGCCTGAAACTACATGGGAAGCATGCAGACAGACAGACACTCGCACTCGCCCACCCGCCCAACCCCTCCCTCCCTCCCTCCCTCCCTCACTCTCTCTCTCTCTCTGTCTCTCTCTCTCTCTCTCTCTCTCTCTCTCTCTCACTCACTCAACACATCATCATATATCAGCACAAGGTGCTTGCTTGGAGTTCGTTCTGTGATATGAGGGCATCATGCAGGGCGAAAGGGTAGTTGAGTCCTCCTATGGTTAAGCAGCTATGCAGGTGGAAGCTTTAAAAACGGGAATAGCCTAGTAGCCTAGCAGCTAACGTACAACGTATGCTTGGAGAGGAAACCAGAAATCAAAACGAGGGAAAGCCGAGACGGCAGCAAAATCAAGCGCGCGCCAGAGACATGCAGCTTCTCAGCTTCTCGGTGATGTTTCCATCTGTAAACAGGAGCCAAAAGAAATCAAGTGGGGGGAGTCGGGCGCCGCCTACGTGTGCGAATCCACAGGCGAGCGCTGACATGACGAGTGCTCAATCTTACCCTTGTTCTCGACTTGTCGCAACAGTGAGGCATCTTCACCACGAAGGAGAAGGCCGAGCTTCACCTGCAGGGTGGTGCGAAGAAGGTGATCATTTCCGCACCGCCCAAGGACCGGCATGTGGGGCCAAGCGGGAATGAAAGTTGCCTATGTCTGTGCTCAACTGTAGCGGTGCAGTTTGCCCCGTGGCCGCAGGATGACGTGCCCATGTACGTAGTTGGCGTGAACCATACGGAATACAAGTCCACCGACACCGTAGCGGCCTGGCAGCATGGGACATGATTCGACGGAAAGCGGTAAGCCGCAGGCCTTGAGCCTACTTCTTTCTAGCACATCGAACCCTCAGATCTGGATTTTTCTGCAAGGCACGCACGCAGGAACTGGCATGTGAAGTCTCGTTCATCGGGTTCCGGGTTTCGACCAAGTTACCACAGCAAGCGACATGAATGCAAGCAAAAAGAAGTCACGAGGTTGCAGCTCGCATGCTCGGTTATACATCGTGAGAGTTTTTGGTATGTAATGGACATCCGGCAAGATCCTACAACTAAGCCCCGGTGCACTCTGCTGCATCTGCATCTCAGCACTGGATCTAGGTTTCCAACGCGTCTTGCACTACGAATTGCCTCGCTCCACTCACGAAAGTCGTCCATGAGAAGTTCGGCATCATCGAGGACCCGTCGGGCGGACCCAATCCAACTTACAGGGATTGGGTCGTACATGAATCGCTCTCTTTGGTGCCAGGGCCTGATGACCACGGTTCATGCGATGACAGCAACCCAGCTCACCGTGGATGGCCCTTCCCGCGGTGGCAAGGCAGGGCCCTGAGGTCACGAGCCCCACAGGGTCACAGGCGTTCACCTTGCATGTAGCCGACAGATCTGCAATCATTATCATTATCATATCATATCCGCATGGAACAGGATCTCCGGGTCCTTGCGAACAGGGCGCAATATGACCGCTGTAAGCCACTGGTGTCTTCACCAGGTTCTACTCTAAACGGCATCGACCCTCAACTTAAGAACTAGACCAAACGTTGGAGCATTTTTCAACTGACCCAGCCTGTAAATCCTAAACTAACCCTTGAAACCCTCTCAAGAAGGCCTGCTAAGAAACGCGGAAAAGCGGCCCTCCACTCAGCAAAGCGTTTGTGTGTGTGTGTGATGGTTCTGAGACTTAGCAGGAGCGTGGACCAGGCAAAAGAGTGTGCAGCAGGTTTTAAAGCCTCTCACTGCCCCGCAACTTCATCCCAAGACCTGTCGGCTTTTGCTGCCATTCTTTGCGACTGGTGTCGCGACCTGGAGTGATCTGAATATAGCGAGTGGCTGCAGTCCCGTGCTGGAAACAATCGAAGATTGCACCACGGATCCAAGCCACCGGCCGCGAATTCTCGGTGCTGCATCGGTGGTTATGTGGGGTGTGCCCAAGATGAGCAGCAGATCTATCCTTGCAGATCGGATCAGCTGAACTGAGAACTAAGTGCAGCCTACCTCCCCACGAGTACATGGAGACTGGAAGTCTTAAATCAAGGGTGTGTTCAGTACGTGGGCCGCGACTCACGGTTGTCACGACTTGTTCTGGAAATTCTTGTTGTTCTTCTTGGAGGGGGGGTGGGGTGAGGAGGGGGGTGGGGGGGCAGTTATGAGCCTGATGCTTGCGTGCTCGGAAGTGACGACATCTGAAAGTCTCAAGTCTGAACCTTGAAGCTCTCAAGTTAGAAGCCTGTGCTTTCAAGACCACACCCTGAGAGCTTAATCTTAGGGCTAACCTGAAGGCCTGAAGCATGACCAGCTGAAGCTCCACATTCGGGCTAGTGAATTATGCGGACCTTGGGGTGTTCTAGGGAACATAATCCTCCAGCTGATGCTCCACCAATGCCGAATCTTGGAACTTACGAGACCACGAAACTCTCAAAGGGGCTTCCAACTCTGAAGTTCGAAGACGCAGCATCAATTGGTTTCAAGGATGGTTGCAAATGCACATGTCTTTCACGATGTCGATAATGCAACGGTTATGCATGTCTCACACACTCATAGAATGCTGTCCCTGCAGTACGAATGCAACGTTCCATATTGATGCACTGCAGGCGAATGTACCCTAGAACCGCCCACACAGCACACATGTCCCCAGACTGCAACGACAAGCGCTTCAAACGTACTAAACGCACCCAAAATCAATCGATTTCATAAAGCCATCGGCTCCATTTTCAGGGAAATGAACTGTTGTCCTACCCCACAACGATGCAGGATTGGCGAGGTGGGCGCTGTGCATCGCAGACACTGTGCTGCAAGTGACATCTGGAAACCTACAACAGAATTTAGCGGATGTTGTTCACGGCAGAGAGCAGAGGCTTTGAGAAGGTGTGATGTGTACTCTGAGGAACATCATCCCGTCTGCAACGGGTGCCGCCAAAGCTGTGGGCAAGGTGGGCTTGGCCCAAGGCTCTGCGCAAGCTTGTGTGAGATGTGCACGCTGTGCTGTAGGTCATCCCGGCAATGAACAAGAAACTCACCGGTGGCTTGGCCAAATAGTCGGCTGGATGCTGGGTCACGGGTCAGGCTCGCCACCAGCACCTGAACACCATTCCATTACAATCATTACACCATTTGACATCTCTGTGGAGGGCAAGACTTTATCATGCACTGCACAGCAAGGTATGGCTTTCCGAGTGCCAACGCCGAACGTCTCCGTGGTTGACCTCACCGTCCGTTTGGAGAAGCCGGCCAAGTACGAGGACTGCACCAGACTTGTCCTTCAGCCGAGGCCAGCCGTGCGAAGAGTGCCTTCCCGAGGACATCGTGGCTGCGATTAAGGATGCCTCTAACGGTCCCATGAAGGGCGTTCTTGACTGGACGGACGAGGCGACTTGCGAGCACTGAGCCGCAAGCTCTGGAATGACTTCGGTTGCTCCAGGAAGTCGTGTCCACGGACTTCGTCACCTGCAAAGCGTCCTCCATCTTCGATGTCGCCGTCACCTGACTTAGACTCTATCATCTTCACTTCGTGGGGCTAGGGCCAGGCTAAACCCAAGACTGGTGCCTTCTGTGCCAATGCTGCACATGATTCCTTAAGTCAAAGGCCGGCATCTCGCTGAACGACAACTTCGTGAAGCTTGTGAGCTGGTCTCTTGGCCCGTCTGAGGGGTTGGAGGTTCGACTGGATCATGATACTACTCGGGATTTCCTGCCACCGGTTTCGTGATATCCAAGGGCAGTGCACGAAGGGATGCTGCATAGCTCTACCATCCGATTCCTAGCTTTCTAGGGCCAGGGGATGCAGAGACGTCAAAGTCCGGAAAGCCTCGGAGCAGCTACGCAGGTACGACAACGAGTGGGGCTACTCCAACCGCCTCGTGGAGTTGGCCGTGCACATGGCCAAAGTGGACGGCTAAAGGAAAGAGAGGCGAGAAAGCCGAAAGCCCCTGTTATGAGAGCTCCGAAGCGCGAGAGCTCTGTTAGAAGGCTCTTAGTCTTCACGTGGTTTCAGCGAGTGCTTTTGCGTGTGCCAGGAGGGCCCCCCCCACCGCGTGCCAGACAACATCTGAGCCAGCTGTTTGCACCTCAAACGGATGATTCGCCTCTCCTACAATTGACGAGGAGGGCGATTTTCACCCATGACTCATGCTCGCTTTCGCGATGGCAGAATCTTGGGCATGCTCATCACGATGTAGCCAGTCAAGATGCCAGCAGCCCTGACATTCAGCAGCTCCCCAAGCCTGCCTGAAGAGAAGTGCCGGACTGCAGAAAGGACTGCACCCCTGCCTGCTGCATGGTGGCGGCAATTTGTCGTGCATAGTTGGCGCAAGACTGAGATGCCCAGCAGACCTCCACGTAGCATTAGTCATTAGCCCCTCAGACTCAGGGTTTCACTCCAAGCAGGATCCTGTCGATAGATTAAGCAAATCGGGGCCAGCCTTGCATTGGATGCAGGTCAAGGCAAAGCCTCTTGACGAAGCCCTCGACATTCCAGTGGGCTATGAGGTGGGATGGGGTTTCTTGCAGACGGTGTTCGTTGCTCCAGGATAGGCTTTCATGCGGCCTTGAAGCCCATGGTGCCCGAGGAGCAGTTCGCGGGCTTGCGGTCTGCTGCCCGGGTGGAGCTCGCGAAGATGTCGAGGCAGCACCCGTGATCTGTTACAGGCAAGGTGCGGGGAGAGCGTTGGGAAACCTCAGCTTGGGCTCAGACCGGGTCGGAGGCACATAAGTCATGGAGCAGGGAGCCGGGCCGTGGTATCGGTGGAGTATTTAAACATCATTTAACTTGAAGCATCACTTGTGTGCTGCAATGAACATCCCGTAGAAGTCTGGACACATGATTGCGCTGCATCTTCTGTTCTACTACATACTTGCCACTCGGCGGTCTTGTGGGAATCAAAGTTTTCAGAAAGCGGGTGTGGTCAGTGTAGTCTCCTGCATAGAAAGCCAAGTGTGGATTGGCAAATGTTGCGTTGACTTCTGATCTTTGCAACTGCTCTTAGGCGTTCCTGCAGGAAGAAGAGCTTCTTGCATCTCTACGATCTGGCGGTCTCAGGCACGTTTGGCAGAAATCTCGCCTTTGCAGCCTGGAGTTTTGCCTGCTGCAACCTGGCAACTGCCTGGCAACATTTCCAGATTTTCTTGTTTGATGTCTGCTTCCAGATTTCCTTTTACAGGTGGTATCAAAAAGCAAAGATGCATCTCAAATCGAAGTCGACACAGATCTGAATGAGCGGCGGCGGCGGGAGGGGGGCACACCTAACTAACTCATACCTCGCCCTCCACAAAGCCTGCGCGGCCCGCTTGAAGTCGAACACTTTTGTTTTCGGTGAAGCAGTTCGGTGCTGTTTCAATGGGCGGTCCATGACATAGAATGGCCGAAGATTTTTGCCCGTGAGCGGTTTCAACTAGTTATGTACGATAGTTTCAGGCCAGCATCCGTGAGTGGCCTTGTGAGAGGTGTTCGTAGAGCCTTGTGAGAGGTGTTCGTAGAAGGGAGCTGTGGGACACCAATCATGATGCGGTGACCTCCTGCTTACCTGTGTTCAGTGACCTCCTGTCATTTTTTTTGTGAGCCTCTTCCGTTTATGCTTGCACCCTCGGTGTTACCGAGCATCGTGCGTGTGCAGTTTTCGTATGCTTATTGTGGAGGTGTTGCTACGTCTGCCGTGTATAATCTTGGTGTGACACGGGCAGTGCTACATGGTAAGTGCAGTGCGGCCACCAGTGCCATGCTGGGAAAGGGTGTTCGCGCCCACTAACCTCACCTCAACCCCCGTCTCTCACTCTCAGTCTCAGTCTCACATGCACACGCACACGCTCTCTCACTCTCTCACTCACTCACTCACTCCCTCGCTCACTCGCTCACTCACCCACTCACCCACCATCCACCCACCCACGCACACACGCACACACGCACACACGCACTCACCCATGCACTCACGCACTCACTCACTCACTCAATTCATTAATCGATCGGTCTATCCCTCTATCAATCAACCTAATCAACCACTCAATCATGTGTCTTGGGAAGATCTCCTGCCAAATTGATGGAAAGCTTGCGACCTACAGAAGATGATCCCAGGTACTACCCATGGATCTGCTACTTCTTCTGCAGCTGGTTGCCCAAGGCTTGGCACAGCTCGCGGCGGCCGAAGCACCATAGTGGTTTCGACGGGTGCATGGGAAGCTGAGAGCTCCGCCGCGAGCGCTTCCCGGGAGGCGGCTTGGGAGCTCCGGCTGCGCTGTGTCCGTTCGCAGCCTTGTCGGACTTACTTGTCGATGAAGCCGCGGCCTAAGATTCTCGGCGTATAAGGACCACTCGGCTTTACCGGTGTCCCTGCCGTAACGAGGAGGGCGTGGATGGGGTGGACCCAAGACGGGTTCTATCCCTTTCCTCTCATCGACAACGGGGAGATCCAGTGGCGTGACTTCCGGGACTCTCTGCCTATCCTGCTTCCCGCGGCAGTGGTCACGGAGCCTCGGCCGATCCACACGCTGCATTGCTCTGTCAGATAATTACTGGTCAAGACTTCTGGGCAATGTGGAGGCTGGGGCCGCATGCCAGTGACTTGTTGCCTGAGGTGGTGATCCGCCGTTTGCTTGTCAAGCGGATGCTTACTTCTGGTGACCACGATACTACACGGATCAGCGCCGCCCTACTCGTGGGAGGATGCTTCTTGCTCGTTCTGCATGGAACGGGCTCGGCTTTCGTGCTTGCGTACGCAGGGGTATTCTACGCATTGGGAAGACTCCTAGCAGGCAGAGCATTTTGCATTCCAATGGTCTGGCTAGCAGCAGCGGTCTGCATCGCCGTCGCAGACCAGAGGATCTTGCCCGAAGACTCGATGCACTTCGGATCCTTGCTGGGTCCAAGTGCTGCATTTCTGGATGCAGCACCATTTACTGGAGTATACCACTGGTCACATTCAATCAAGCTCATGCTGCTTCGCAGCATGAGCTTTGTGCTGGATTGGCATTGGGCACTGAGTTCAGGAGCTCGACAATCTGTATTTCTGATGACAGCTTCCACCTGTCTGTTGTGCTGCTCTGCAGGATGTCCTGGAGAGGGCAGATACACGTTCCTGAACTCGCTGGCGCACCTCCTGTATGCACCAACCTTTTTAGCAGGCCGTCGGGATATCGGTTCTTGGTCCTAAACGTTTCGGCATACGACCAACGTCCGTCTCGCAAGCCAGGCCCGATCATTACCTTCGACGATTTCGTGGAGCAGTGCCGCTCTGCAAAGCCTCCAGGGTGTCGCTTGGTTTGGCCTCATGTCTTGCAAGGTGCGTGCAACGGTGGCGGGTTTTTCGACTGTTGGGATGTCGGGGGCCTGCGGGTCTGCACACCGCGCGCATCTGAGGTATCTCTTGCAGTTAGTCATGGCTCTGGCGATGGCAGCAGCCAGGCAGCAAAAGCGCTTTATGAGACGGCCATGACTGGTCTGATCCTTTTAGTTTGGTCTGCGGCCTCTTTGGCCCTGGTCAGAGTGGATACGGCGGAGTACATGGGAGTAGAAGTTCTAGAGATTGGTTGAGTAGTCACTGTCTTATTTCGACGCTGTTGGGCCAATTGGAGCACTGAGGAGTCGGCTTGGCATCTCTATTTTGTCTTCGCGATGGCCCGGGTGGACCTACTGCGGGACTGCGGGAGAGCGCCACCTTTCGATTCAAGTTCTCTGAAACCCCAGATGCTGACACACCATACCATCGGACCTCCCTTTCCGTAGGAGATGACACCGCGGTTGGCGGCTGCGGCAGTGTTTCTGACCTTGTGCCTTGCATGTCACCTCGGATGTGCGAGTCTGAGGTTGGGACTTGCGGTCGGGAAATCCCATGCAGGGAGGTACAGATAAAGGTCAAGATGCATTCTGTGAGCCGAGGGCTGGAGACAGCTTGTTCTCTCCTCTGTCCGGAGTGCCCGAGGAACATGATGTGGCTCAAGTTCCTGTGCATGTGGAGATTTGGCCGAGCAGCTCGGCGCAGCAAGCTGGAGCTTCAGGATTTTGTGCCGAGTACGAGCCTTTCTTGCGAGGCCTGGGCCATGGCGGATGGCGTGGAGGTGCCGGAGAACATGCGGCGCTGCATGTGCAACAACTTCTCTTTGATGGGCTTCTGGCGCGGATGGCACTCATCTTTTAATCGCTGGCTGGTGAGATATTTGTGCCCCGCCACAGACGCCTTGCAAAGCCTGACCCTGTCACACCTTGTCTTCCGTCTTTGGTAGATAAAGGGACCCATTTTGAGAGCGTCGCGCTTCGCAGGGCTGCCGCGTCTCCACGACCTCGCGTAACAGTATTCAAGAAGCCAGCCGGGAAAGGCGACTTAGGCAAGTAGCAGCAACACCGAAACCATGAAATCCTGGATTTTTTCGAGCACGCAGGTGCACGACGTAGCGCCGCAACGACTGAAGCAAAGGGCAGGGAGGCGGAGAACAAAGCACACCGAGCACAGCGCTTTGCTGGGTCAGCAGGAAGATCCGTCGGCGCTGATGCAAGGTACGTCCCACTCGGTGGTGCACGACGAAAAATGGCTGCATCAGCTGCCACTTTTTTATTCGTGGCAGCCTGGCATGATCTGGAGGCAGGGTGGATGTGAAACTGGAAAGCCGGTTGTGAACCAGCGATGTGATGGTTCAGTATGTTCAGTGCATGGTCACGATCTGTGAAGGGTTGCACTTGGTACTGGGCGTGCCTCCGAAAAATTCCGAAAAGCACAACAGCGACAGAGCGACAGCACGTCTGCAGTTCAAGCTCATGGCCTGGGGGCTTCTCAACGTCGGCTTCCTGTGGTTGGAGGCAAGATTTGGGTTCGGAGCAGATCAAAAAGCCGTAGAGAATGAAGCGTTATCCGCTCTGAAGGGCTTTTTGACACTCTCAACCAAGTGCCAACATGCAGTTGCCAGCTGAAATCAGCTGAAAAGTCGCTTTAATCACAGGATCTGTAAGTGGTTCTCGTTCATCGCCGTACTCTGCAGTTGCACATCAAGCTTCCTAGAGCAGCAGCGGGAAATGTCGCTGAGAATGGCAGTCTGTTGCACTTACACCGCAGAAACTTCGCAGTAGTGCAATTTCTCCGATCGAACCATCCCGACCTCATGCTTGATGACTACAGCATGTGCTTGCTGCCCACATTGGTCTGTCCACGCATGTTAGAGATTTTGGCAGTTGCACCAGGGCGCGGTGGCGGCTCGCCCGGGACCGTGGCCGCGGGCGGTCGTCGGAATCGCAGGCCGCCGAAAAGAACGGAAACACCACAGACGAGAGCTGAGGCAGCCGAGGAAAGACATAGTGGTGGTCATGGAATGCTTCAGCACGCTTTACACACTCCCAAGGTGAGCAATTTTCCGAATTCCAAAGAGAGACCAATGATGGATCTGATTCTGCAGCGACTGTCTTCCCCAATGTGTTTTTCAGACCGGTGATATCGCAGGGGCGTCGCTACTGCGAATAGTTTCACAACAGAGAAACTCTGGTCAGTATTCTTCCTACCTTCGCTCTTCGAGGCAGCACATACATCCTTGTCCTCATGACTGTCAACCTGTTGCTCGGCCTTATTCAAGCATGCCGCTTTTGTGGGAGTCATATCTGCATCGCACAGCTTTCCAAGCAGATTTACTTCTTCGACTCGCGTAGTCAAGAGTAGTGTTCGAGCTGCGACACCGCCTCGACCGAGCACAGCAAGTCTTTACCCTCACACCAAGCTTGGGAGAGCCTCTCCGTTGCTTCGAGATCGCCTCAGAAGAGAGGGCGGGGCGAGGGTTCGAAAGCACTATAATGGTATTGTGTCGGCTGACTGGCGGAATCTTGTGCTGCATGATGCTATTTTCGATTTCAAACTGGGCAGTTGCAACCGAGCCGATCATGAAGAGATGCCAGCAGCAGCAGCAGCAGCAGCACCACCACCGCCGCCACCACCACCGCCACCACCGCCACCACCGCCACCACCCCGCCGCCGCCGCCGCCACCGCCACCGCCACCGCCACCGCCCCCACCAGAACATAAATTAGCAAATTAAAGAACTTCTTTTACGCGCTTCAAGCTCCGAAGACCCTGTGCACACACCCGCAGCCACCGCGACATCCACAAAGAAACGCCAAATAAAATGCATCACAGCCCATGCAGCCGGAGGATCGGCTACTCCACCGGCCTGGCTGGCCTCATCGCGCTGCTCCCTGCCGCAACACAGTGGCAGGAGGCAGCAAAGCTTTCAGGCTTTTGACGAGTCCATCCAAGAAGCTTCCGCATCCGATCACTCAAACTGTATACTCTTCTTCAGGGCCATTCCGGATGCTTAAATCTGTCTTGTTGACATTGGTTTTGTGCAGCGAGCCTAGACTGGTCCTGGCCAAGTGCAACATTTCGGGGCCGAGCCCATGCCATCTTCGCATGTTGGAACAAGACCTGCAAATGCAGCCCTCAGAGGCGTGTGTGAAATTCTGTGTCCAGGTTGAAATTGCTTTTTCGTGTCTGCGGCATGTAGCTTCCTAATCTTCCTCCTGGCAGGCACTCTGGGTGCTGGCGGGTGCCTACTTGACCCTCTTTTGCGGCATCCAGGCTCGATGCAGAGGGACATTTGACTCCGTTCGGCCCTGGTGTTGGCTGCAGGTCATGCTGGAGCTGCGGAAGTTGGATGGGACTACCAAGAAGGTCTCTTGATAATAAGATATAATAAGCTTTGTATGATTTTGTCCTGACCTGACCTACACCTCCTGCGCTTGACGTGTTGGCTTCTTGACCTTGCCAGCATCGTTCGTCGTGCTTGTGCTCAACTTGCTAAGGTGGCGGACCTCAAAACGGATTGAGGGAGGGAGGCATGCAGAAGTTCTATGCCGAGTCCTCAATCGCCAGAGCACGAAATACCGCGGCGACGCATGACCATCCGCCATCCCCTTGGACACTATGCCGCATCTGGATCGAAGGCGCCAATGATCATCGGATTCAAGGATGCCGTATTTTCTTGGCTGGCCGACAGCCTCGCCGGCTAAAGCTGGCCACCACATGGGCACGCTGCAAATGTCCGAAGGCAAGAGCACTGCTTGGACGGCAGGTGAGCTGTTCCTTGAGGCAGCAGGTCTGCGTAGATTCCTGAAACAGCCAGTGGGCTGAGACTGTCATCGCTTTGCAAGAGAAACGGGCACAGGCCACGCTGACAAGTGGGTTTCCACAAACCATATATCTTGTGTTATGTATCTTGGCTGGCTACGTGTTCTGAAGCTGGATATGTGGGAAAGCAACTTTTGAACGCGTGCATGATCAAACATGCAGATGGTATGTCGGCTACTGCCGAGACCTCCTGGCATGTCACATCCGCTGAAGGGTTTCAGTATAGAGCTCAGATGCAGCCAGCAAGTGTCATGGGGCGATTGGAAGCAAAGGCATGATGCTAAACATCGCGGTGCCAGCTGCTTTTGCTAGATGAGGTCTCTGTTGCCCCAGCAGGCAGCGTGTTAATGTATCCCAACACCCCAGTCGTGGAATCCTGTGAAGGGACCTCGGGCTGCCTGTTGAGGGCACGCAGCAGCAGATG